AGTTAATTCTAAATTTGGTTTTTGATTTTTACTTTGGAATGACATATTGTTGAAAAGTGACAATTCAACCTTGCAATTGATTTCTAAGTATTGAAGAGTGACACTTCAATGTTAAACTTGTTTTCAAATTGAATATGATGTGTTCTATTGTGACGATCACTATCCGAATAGACTAGACGACTAAAAATCCTATAGTCTATTTTTATTGACTCTTGAACCGAAAGGGAATAGGTCACTCGATCGAGACTCATACAAAATAGACATAATCCAAAAGGTATTGTCTATGTGTTAAACAACTCGTTAATTTACCGTTTATATTTATTCTCATAATCCAAAAGGTATTGAGGATAAATCTCTAAACGTGTAGGTGACTCGAATTCTTTAACCGAACAATCACAAGTCGATAATTGCATTTCGATTCAAAACATTTATTCCCGATTCCCTAGTATCTTTCGCATTTTTATCATTTATCATTTTAGTTGTTTTATATTATTTATAGTTAACAATGAATCATTATCAATCTATCTTGATTAGAATGTTTAGGATTTATTTTGTTTTTATGTGCTATCAATATCAATTCTAAATTCCGAATAGTCTTCCTCAAGAGAACGACCCGGGAAACGAATAATTTGATTCGGTGCTTGGTAAAATAAAAATAATTTGTACACAACAAATTTGGCGCCGTTGCCGGGTATATTGAACAGAAGAATCAATGAACCCGAGCAATATGTTCCCCTCCTCGCAGAACCTTTATTGGAATAATGGGCCGAGCTACGGTTCGTGGGATTATGGCCAAGCATGTGCCTATTCTTACGAGCAATCGTGGTATCTATTACCGTTCGAGCAATCATATGAGTCCCCCGTAGACTCCTCTGATGATGATTACGCTAAGCTCGATAGGATTCTCGATTTTATGGCCTCCCAAGCAGCCCGGACGAAAATTCTTGAGGCCGAAGTCGAGAACCTAGCGGAACGCATTCAAGTCTTGGAGGATCGAGCTTACAATTTTTTTCCCGATTCCCTCATGCAAAATGAACTTCGGGGGAACACTTTGACTGATGATGAAAAGTTCGATCTCATTCTTGCTCGTATGACGGCCCAAACATCTCGACTAGAGAAAATGGAGCTTGAATGCACTCGGTTGGTGGCGAAGCTTGACGACATAGAACGCGCTCAGTCCGTCAAGATTGAATGCAGAATCCATGTGGACGAGACTGAAGATGAGGAGGATGCACTCCCGAAGATTGAGGATGATATAGTGAAAGAGGAAACTCATGTTCCCGAATTCGAAAGTCCCTCACTCGAGTCATCTCTCCTCTCAGTCGAGAAGGCCCCATTTAGCTCAACATGTTCCACGGTCATTCTCGTGCTTCGGGAGGATGACTGTGGAATTTTGTCGAGAAGAGTGAGGGGTCGTTTCGTTACCATCCGTGATGCGTACGCTCGGTTCCACAAGAACATTGCCACTCGAGCCTACCATATCCTTGGTCATGTCACCCTTCCCATGCTGCCGCTTCTCGAGAATACGAAAGCATGGTATGATCGACACTTCTTTTTAGACCCCGGTTGATTTGTACTGGATTCGTCAAGCTAATAACGTTAAACAAGCGCTTCTTGGGAGGCAAACCAAGCAATTTACTGCTTTCGTGTGTGTTTCATTTATGTTTTTATTTTATTTTATTTTATTTTTGAATAATGGGAGTTTGTGGAGATTGGTTTTCTTGGCAGGATATATCGAGGATCGGTTGATCGGGGGCGGAAGGCTGGAACGTGAATGCTTATTTCCATCGAGGCTACTTCGGTTTGCACACTCTTTTCTTTTTCTTGTTTTAATTCCCAGTTTTTTTTTTGTTTTTTTTTTTCATTTATGTGTTGATGCAATGAGGACATTGCATTATTTTAAGTGTGGGGGAGTCGGCAACTCCGCCGTGGATTTTGCATGTTTATGTGGTAGGTTGTCGTGTTTTCGAGCATTTGGTATTGATGAATTATATGATTTGTCGATAAATGTTTGATGAAATTGAGAAGTTGTGATGACGGACGTATTTATCATTGCCTCGATATTTACTTGATTGCTTTAATTGACATTTATTTACCTTGCGAGGTTTTGATCCTTACTTTTCTTTCTTGAGAGATATTGGTTGTATTCTCAAATGATTAGAACTTGCCTTGAGTCTATTTGAAAAGAATTGGTTTAAGTTTGAAATTACGAAAATGATTGAGACATTTTGTTGTTAGCTCGTTTTGCCTTGTTCTTGACCCTAAAAATACATTTTCTGCTAGTAGCCCGTTTGAACTTGAAGCCTTTTCTTGTAAGCCATATATATATATATATATATCTGATTGTTGACAGGTCTTGAGTTTCGATTGGTGAAGTGGCGATATTTTTGAACGAGATAAAAATTGAGTTGCATTTTATTGCTTGACCAATATAAAAAAAAAATAATAAAAAATATAAAAGAATATATAAAAATAAAAAAATAAAATACATGAGAGCTCGCAAGATGAATGATTGGATTCTACTCCGCTTACTTGTTATTCATTTTAACGAGTAATGAGTAATGGGAAACCACCTTAGGACACTTGGATAACCTCCAATGTTTAAACCTAAGGAATATTGTCCTTACGATTCAAGCTTGTTCGGAAATAGTAACTCTCCAAATAAAAAAAAATTGTGTAATAATTCAAGCAATATTGCAATTCGATTGGAGCATATAGGTGTTGTTTGTAGAGACATTGGTGGACGGTATGGGCGAGTGGCGGACATTCGAGTATTCTATTACTCGAAAATTTTAATTGTGTATTTGAGCTTCTTGTCTATTTATATATCCTTACCTTTACCTACATCCCACATTACAACCTGATAAATCCTCTTGATTCGAAAATTTCAAGCTTTGATTGATTCAGAGTAATTTAGACGATTGGCAAGCATATGTTGAAATGAGAATATCGACCAATTTTGAGCGAACTCATCACATATTCGAACAAGAAAATGAGTGAGGCATATATGATGACCTAAATGTTGAGAGTTTGTCATTTTAAGGCCAAGTCGATATTTGAGGCAAATGGTCATACGGTTGTTGGAATTTGACTCGATAGATTTAAACATTTTGAAGCACGTCTTATTTCAACCCGATACCTATGTTCGTATTTTGTTTTCTTTTCTCTTTGTTCGGGACGAACAAATGCTTAAGTGTGGGGGAGTTGTTGTAACCATTTTTGTTGCATTTTTCGCTATATTTTTGTTCTTCTTTTCCCCTCATTTTTCTTCATTTTAGGTTATTTCGTGAGTTTTTAGTTCGTTTTGTGTTTTATTATGTGTTTTGTTCCATTTTGGTTTTCTTTGTGTTTTTCGTGTGTTTTTCCGGTTTTTCTTTGTTTTTGGTGTGCATGTCGGAAGTCTCGTGAGGAGTTGATTATAGACTGGGCAATCATGGTTATTTAGATGGACTCGTTGGCTACACATAGAAAAAAACGGACGTTGGTTTCGAGTTCGGATGAATCCGAACGGAACAAAAACGCGAAGCCGCGCAAGTTACCGACCCTTTAAAGGTTGAAAATTCTACATAATTTGTACTCTAGGCAAAAGTGTAGCTTGCAAGCATCATTGGATAGAGGGGTTCATTAGCTACGCGTAGGAAAAAACGGAACTCAATTCTGGGTTCAGACGAGCCCAAAACAAGCCCGAGAAGCAGAGCTGCCCGAGACGTGCGCGAATGCGCGCGGAAAAATCACTTTCGGTTTTGGTCCGAAAATTCCATCTTTTATCTCAAATTTCTTTATCTTCTTTCACCTTTTCTTCCATTCTTTCTTTGGTAGATGAATTGTGGTAGATTTTTAGTTGAATTGTGGTTATTGTTGGTAAATTGTGGTTGATGTTGGTGGATTATGATTGATGATATATCTATAAATAGCTCCATCATCTAACCAACATCTATCCCTCACAAACCAAAATATTATCATCCTCACCACTACCATCATTCTTATATGTTGTCTTAGATTAGTTTCTCTTTTGGTTGTGAATTTTGGAGGTGTTCTCCAAGGCTTGTACTTGTTCCGGTGTGGCGTGCATTTGTTTTCGGTTTGGCGTTTGTATCAACTTTATTTCTTGACTTGGATTACTTGTAAGTTGTTTTTCTTGTAATGATAATTTGCAATGAATCTTATGTTGAGTTTATTTTTTTTATATGAATAGCTAAATCATTTGCTAGGGATAGGGATGAATATTTGATTTCGTATGTGATTATCGTACTCGTCGATTGTTCACTTTGTATGAGTTAATTCTAAATTCGGTTTTTGATTTTTACTTTGGAATGACATATTGTTGAAAAGTGACAATTCAACCTTGCAATTGGTTTCTAAGTATTGAAGAGTGACACTTCAATGTTAAACTTGTTTTAAAATTGAATATGATGTGTTCTATTGTGACGATCACTATCCGAATAGACTAGACGACTAAAAATCCTATAGTCTATTTTAATTGACTCTTGAACCGAAAGGGAAGAGGTCACTCGATCGAGACTCATACAAAATAGACATAATCCGAAAGGTATTGTCTATGTGTTAAACAACTCGTTAATTTACCGTTTATATTTATTCTCATAATCCAAAAGGTATTGAGGATAAATCTCTAAACGTGTAGGTGACTCGAATTCTTTAACCGAACAATCACAAGTCGATAATTGCATTTCGATTCAAAACATTTATTCCTGATTCCCTAGTATCTTTCGCATTTTCTTCATTTATCATTTTAGTTGTTTTATATTATTTATAGTTAATAATGAATCATTATCAATCTATCTTGATTAGAATGTTTAGGATTTATTTTGTTTTTATGTGCTATCAATATCAATTTTAAATTCCGAATAGTCTTCCTCAAGAGAACGACCCGGGAAACGAATAATTTGATTCGGTGCTCGGTAAAATAAAAATAATTTGTACACAACAGTGACCTCATAGCATCGTCGAGATTGCAGCTTGTCCCCAGTCACCTCTCCAACCTCATCTCCTACAGGGAATTTAATCTTCATGCAATAAGTGGAAATCGTTGCCTGGAACGAATTCAAGGTAGGTCGACCCAGTATGATGTTGTAGGCCGAGCTAGCATCCACGACCAGAAAGCGCACCATCTTCACCTTTCTCAATGGTGATCTTCCTAACGCCACCGTTAAGCTAACTTCGCCTACGGGGCGAACCTCACTGCCGCTAAAGCCATAGAGAGCAGTGTGGACTGGCTCGACTTTCACATCTAACTCCATCTGCTGCAAACAAATCAAGAAAATGATGTCTGATGAGCTCCCCGTGTCTATGAGCACCCTTTGCACATCGTAACTGGCCACCTCCGCAGTGATGACCAAAGCGTCATTATGTGGGACAACAAGCCCCTGCACATCGTCAGCCCCAAACTTCAAAGTGGCCGAGCTTCTCTGCACCTGCATCTCGGCCACCTCTCCTGCCACACTCTTTCCCCGGTAAGTCCTCTTCCTCTCCCTATGCGAGTCTCCATCCGTAGGACCTCCCGCGATCATGTGTATTATGCCTCTCTTAATTGGTCTGTCAGATTGCTCATCAGTTCTCCTCCGTTTGTCACCCTACTCTCGTCCCTCCCGACGATCGTCCTGGCGGTCTTTGTCCTTGATCACGAACTCTTTTAAATGACCAGCTCTGATGAGCCGCTCGATTTCATCCTTCAACTCCCAACAGAAATTTGTAGCATGGCCATAATCGCGGTGGTACCAACAATACCTATCCTTTGACGCCGAGAACTTCCTCGGTGGGGGTAGAGGCTTTGGCTGCGCTAGCAACTTGTCCTCCCCCCGTTTTTCCATTGTCTACAGGATCTCCTGTTGTGTTGCATTAAGTGGTTTGTAATGCTCATACCTTGGACCCCTAAACCGATCCTCGACCTTAGCCTCCTTAAGGGGAGCTCGCCGATCACCCTATCGAGGCCTTTCGTCTACCTGCTTGGCCTTTGTCTTGTCATTTCGGATGAAGTCCACCTCCGATTCTTCCATGTTCACATATTTGCTACACCTCTCAAGTAACTCGTCAAAGGACCTTGCCGGCCTCTTCGCCAACGAATCTCTGCACTTCCCCGGCCTCAACCCCCGCGTAAGGCCTCCAGCTTTGATCTCTTCCGAGGCAGAGGGAACCTCCACGCACTCTTTGGTATACCGCACTACATACTGCCGCAAGGTCTCCCTCTCCTTCTGCTGCATATTGATTAGTGAGAGATACGTCTTTTCGTGCTTCCTGGCGCTCGCGAACTGGTTCAAAAACAAAGAGCTAAACCTTTCGAAGCTATCGATAGACCCTGCTGGCAGCTGGTGGAACCAATCCTGTGCCGACCCCTTTAGCGTTGTCAAGAAGGCTCGGCAACTCACAGCGTCACTATACCTGTGCAACACAGCTATATTGTCAAACGATCTCAAGTGTCTAGCTGGGTCCGCCGATCCATCATAGGACAAGCTCAACTCCCTGAAGTTGCTAGGCAAATCCCCTCCTAAGACATCCTCGGCAAAAGGGTGTCCTGGTGAAACTACAGGTCTCTTACCCTGCACCCGGGCTTGGAGTTCTCGCATTTGAGCCGCCAACCTTTCCAACGTTAACCCATCTGGTTGTGTCGTTGCCACCGGGAGAGTGGTCACCGACCTGGCATCATCCTCATCGCCCCTCTCCAAGCGCTGGTGTTGCTGCTGATGCGAGAGGACCTGTTTTTGTGGTGCTAATGGTTGTCGTAGCGGAGGTTGTCGAAACGACCCGTTAGGTGCTATCTTATCCAGCTCCTGCGCCCGGCCTATCGCCTCAGCAATAATCTTGTCCAACTCCGACCTAGTCATCTGAATAACTGGGTCCTCCCGTGGTGCCGAAGAAACATTGTCCCCCGGAGGGTTTTGTGCTCTTACCATGACCAACTGCCTACTACCATGGACACCACTTTGGTCACCAGCACCTCCAGATCCCAAAGCGCCTTGATTCGCCCCCCCCCCCCATCAACCGTGGCGCCCACCTCATTCGCTTTGTCTGTTAAACCACCTGATCCTCCCTGGTTTAGCACACGCCCTTCAACTTCTGATGGTCGTACCAGGGTCACACATAGGCCCACCAGCGTCTCTTTGGGGGTAACAGGCGAGGGTGACCATCCTGGCGGGGGACCTGTTCCGAAGGCCCTCCGAGCCCACTCATCATCCATCTCCTTAGTCAAGCTCTTCTTCGAATTTTCTCCTGCCATGATACTTGTTCTATTCTTCCTTGGTGAGAAAAAACAGCCTTTAATGCTCCGGTAGAAGACTGATTTTCCCCACAGACGACGCCAATTTGTTATACCACATAAACCTGGACCGCTGGACCGCTCCTCTTCGAACCGGGTTACGTCTCTTTGATCGCCGGTACCTGCAAAACATGTCGGGAGTGGTCCCGGCGCGAATACTCCGACACTCAAGTCAGTGGTGGTCCGAAGGAAAAACGCAGAATAACGAGAGAATTTTTATGTGTGTGTTGTGTAAATGAAATAACCTGCGTCCCTTTTATAGATGAAGTCATCTAGAGGTTGAAGAGTTCTTATTATACCATGAGTATTCTCCTCAGATTAGGTTAGAATTCCAAGAGTCCTTGAAGTTATGAACCTCTTCATGACTTGAGCACGATACCACCTGTGGGTTCAGGTCTCCCCAGCGGAACGTCCAGCTACCTAGGTGCCAAGGTGCCCTGCCTAGCTCACGTTGAGCTAGGCTCCACCTACCACCCATGTACTCCAAAGGTACCATGAGCCTCCGCCTACCAAAGCATCCGCCTACCAAAGCATCTGCCTACCACCCATGTGCCCTAAAGGTACCACGGACTGCGCCTACCAGGTTGAACCACCCAGCTGAGTGCAATTAGAACTCGGGTCACAACTGGTCCTTCATGAACCGCTACTAACGACCACATCAGATGGTATATTAATGACTTGTTTTCACGATCATGGATAGCTGATTGCATTACAGGATAATTGATAGTTAACTGTAATAGTTGAGTTAATCATTGTAAATAGTTGTTTGGTAAATAACAGTTTGTGTGTGAAAAAATTGTATTCACATGTTATTCAAAAAAAATTATATGTTTTGTAAACACTTTTATATTGATTTTATTTTCAAAGTTATCATTTCGACCAAAATGCTAATCAAATAAACTATTTATTAAACAAGTTTGTTCACAAATTTGACAGAACAAAACTTTAGATAAGATTCAATTGGCTAATTTTGATATTAACATGCTAACATCCAAGATTCAATTGTTTACAATATTAATTCAATCATAGTCCCTCATGGAATGATCAAATTCTATTTCTACATTATTTTTATGTCCATGTGTTTCATCCTAACGAATGAACGACGCGTGTATATATTAGAAAATTTATGGTAGTATAACTATACGTATCTTAACAACTAATAGAAGTAGCTTTATTATTTCATAAGTTCCTGCATCTCTACCAGGGTAAAGACAAAGATATAGGGTTGTGCATCCGTATCCGTTTTGAAAAAAAAAACATTTAAAGATAAAGTTCGTTAGATATTCAGATTTGAACACTTATAAAAGAGAAAACCGATAAGTAAGATCTAGATGTTTTGAATCTATACAAACTCAAGCATATCATTCATGGGATGACAATCAACGACTAATTACTTATGAAATGTAAAGTTTGAAAGGCGTGCTATAAAGCCAAGCGACAAGCTTCCTATTTTGTAAAGCATCAGGCATTGTGCCTGCCTTATTGAATCTAAGCAAGCCAATATGAAAAACTGAAAAATAATTCCTTCCCTTAATAATGTATTTGGGTAAAATGATAAGGCATACATAAAACTGAAAACTGAATCAACAAGAAAATAGAACGAACCATACCAACTCATTTATAATCGGTTAGCGACTTGTTATCGGTTCGGTATCGGTTCTGAAACCATAAGGGTTCAGTTTTATCGATGAGGAATAAAAAAAAATTCATTTTCCAGAATTGCTGAAACACACCAACTTTGATCTGTTTTAGACTGAAATAACTGATTTGTAGATCAAGTCATCGAAGTTCTGTATGATCAAGAGAACACAAACATAGTTTGGTAGTTTAGTCATAATCTTTTACAACTCTTTCTTTCTTTCTTTCGTTTTTTTTTTTTTGCCAAGTACTTACCATTATCTTCGGATTCTTTTCCTCCCAAGTACCCTTTCTTTCAGAGTACAAACAAAACCAAAAACACAACCACACACGACGAGATCACGATCCCAGTAATAGCTCCGGCAAATAATGTTCCTCCCGAGCCCGTGCTGACATCATAATCTATCAAGGAAAATAAGAGAAGAAAATATAACATAAAGGAAATTGTAGAGTTCAGAACAAGGGAAAAAAAAACATAGAAACACCACTCACTTGGTGTCACGGCTATTGCGGATATCAACGGCCCATATATACCTCTAATGGGTATAGCCGTTATTCCCTGTCCCGTCAAGTACAAATGGATCTCTGAAGTGCTCCCATTTACATCAACGTCAAATTCCCGATATATCACTCTCCTAACACCATTAGCCTCCCTGGCGATATCAAAGTCCGGCAAACTACACAACCCTGCTTAAGAAAAAACCCGTGTACATTCATAAATGTCAATATTGCAATAAATTTCTCTACCTAACTATAAAAATTTTATATTCAAGAAAAAAAAACTTCAGCTTTATCTGTGCTCCTGTGAAGGTTGATAATAAAAACTTTAGAATTTTCTTAAGAACTCTTACTTGGATGGCGACATCGAATACTCTCCTCCCGAGATTGCTATAAGTCGCGTTATCAAAATACATTATTTCAACAAAATAGAGACGCACTCTATAGCTACACTGTTGCATGCAAAGCCCGTAATATTTTATCGATGATGCGGCAAGACGGGCCGTTTGGTAAAGATTGGTATTTGCATCTATCATTAACGAGTCACTTCTAACTCTGTACGGTGCATTGTCTTCCCTTGTATATGGGCCCGTGCTGCTACAGGCCCACCTATCGTTCCACTCGAAATGTGATGGGCCAAGATTGCTAAGATTCTCGTCATATTTGTTCCCCGCGAATCTCGTTCTTCCTTCACCGCAATTTATGAAGAACGAGTGGCCTGCGAGTGAGCTTTTACATGATCAGGACATTTTTATTTTTATTTCTTTCAATGTGAAGGAAAAAAAAAAAGAAGGGGGAGTTACTTTAATGTGAGAATGTGATGTTATGGTTAGGTCTACTGGGACAAGGAAGGTCATCATGCCTCAGGCACCATTCGATTCTGTCGAATATGAACGTGTTAGAATTTTCTTGCATGGTGAAGTGAACGAATGCAACTAAAATCCCTTTAGATGTTGATGCAATTTGTAATGTAGTAATTAGACTTATCTCACAGTGTGTGTTCTGTAATAACCTCATATAAGAAGAAAAAAAAAAAGAAAAAAACTCAACAGGGATTTGGAAGAAAGAACTCACGAGTGTGTGCCAAATTCGAATGACTAGCAACCAAATTTCAGCACAAAGAAGAAAAAAAGAAAAGAAAAGTAAGGGAAGAGTAATCAGGTGAATTTACCATGACGAAGACTTGTCCCGATATATTACGCGCAAAAACTTACATGGTGGAGAACTGGCAACCAACCTGACTGGAATGAGTGAAATTGTTGTATGATAGATCACTGCAATGAGTAGGTATGGATATAAAGATGATAAATATGATAGTTCAAACTAACGGTAGTTTAGTCAGTTGGGAGTAAAATTCTTACAAATTACGATTACTGCTCAAGATCCAATCTGGAACTTCCCCAGTTATTGAGTTGTGGGACAAAAACCTGCAAGCAAAATAAGAAAGGAAAATAGTAATAAAAGCATATAAAATGAGAGAAACTTAAGAAAACTAGTGCAGGCTTATGCAAAGAGTGATACGTACATAAAACGCAATCTCGGCAGATTTTGCAATGTGACTGCGATTGTTCCATCCAACAGGTTGAAACTGAGGTCCTACAAATAAATAATTCAAAGATAAAACATAAATACATGCCCTATAGAAAACTAAATACATAACGAAACAATAAAATGTAGAATAGTAAAAAAAAAGTATCAAGAAATACATTTATTATCAGTCCATTCTACGTTCTTTACTATACCAGACTTTCAAGATAGATCGAACTTAGAGAAGTACAATGTCGTCGGTCCTATTTATATTGTAATGGTTAGGCATAAAAGTATTCTCTTAGCTTTGTTTTTTGGTTTTTTCGCTTGACTTGATGTATATCAGACATTGAACTTGTAGCTTTGCGACTTTTCACGCCATTGCTCCAAAGATGCCATTTCCTGCAAATTTGGAAAACTCGTACATTATCCTAGAATTCCAACTGTATAAACAGACACGAAATATAAACCGTTTTCTTAAGCTAACCACAAGAAATACACTTGATTCTAATTACAGAAAAGCCCATTCATCTTCCAAAATTACAAAAATTGCAGCCTGAATAGAAGAATATTGATACAAGTAAAATATGATCACAAGATTAATAAAGACACAAATATATGCGTTACATGTGCATATCTAATAATGGGAGTTTTGTGATCTCACAATATACATATGTAACTTACGGTTTTGCTATGGAACCAACAGTTGACTCTATAGTGAATCAAATCTTCTATATACAACAAATAAACATACCATATTAATAAAATTATATTAATGCTATTTAAGTAATCAGAGAATATGGTAGATTTACTTGTTGTATATAGAAGGTTGGCTCCACCATGACCCAACTGTTGACTTCATAGCAAAATCGATGTAACTTATTCAATAGTTTTTATGTTAAATCTCACTTTTTTGTTCTCCATCTTAATTTGGGGATAAAGATATTCAACTTTATAAGAGAGTACATACAACGTTTTTGTGCATTAATGGACTTTTCTTTTTATTGTGTATTAGTATTGAACTGGTATTTCACTTGAGCACTTCTCTTTTAATGTTTAAGGATTTAATCTCAATTGAGTTTCTCTTTATTTTTTAATAATAATTAAATCTAGATATAATAGATAAAGAATTTTCTTTGATAATTTATTCAATTGTTTTTTTTTTTCTTTTGCCAATTCTTAATACATTTTTATTCATATAATAACAGATTAAGTATAATAATGAAAGTGTACACAATTAAAAAAAAAAAAAAAGAAGTTAAACAAATAACAAACATTTCAAGCATTGTTTTGTAACCCAGGCCGAAACCGATAGGGATGAGCTATTTTGACCGAGTAACAATGGACACAGTCAAAACCCAACCAACCCAACCTTGACCCGATCGACCCTGGTCAATTGACTTGGTCTCTATAATTTTTTTTATTTTTTTATATTTTTTATATAAAAAATAAAAACTATGTTTATATAATAACATAGTAAATGTTTTATGGTGAGATTCAATATTTTTAACACTTAAATATACAAATTTAATATACAAAAACATTTAATTTCATTACTTTTATATATATTTATATGTCAAAACTACTATATAAAAAATAAAAACTATGTTTATATAATAACATAGTAAATGTTGTATTGTGAGATTCAATATTTTTAACACTTAAATATACAAATTTAATATACCAAACATTTATTTTTATTACTTTTATATATATTTATATGTCAAAACTACTATATAAATAATTTTAAAAATTTTAAAATTAATTATCCAGCAATTGACTTGGTGACCAACGGTTGAAACGATGACCCGTACAAGGGTAAAAAATCAAGCCGGATTTAAAAACTATAATTTCAAGTTCTACGTTAAATAGATAACAGTAAAAAAAAAACTGTAAAAAAAAACTATAGTGGCCTAAAAAAAATTATTTATTAAATCTCTGAACGGTGGCTGAATAGCATAAGAAATTAGATATTTATTAAATAGTATAAGAGATAAAAATAAAAACAAATCTAAAGAGATGCCCAACAACAGAAGGATCGTGCCACCGTCACTTCCAGTCACTTTCCGTCAGCCTCTCTCGGCACTTTTGTGCGGCGGAGACAAAAGTGACAAGTGAAAATAACACCGAATTACAAGACTAACGCAAGAACCTCCAGCGAGGTATACTAAAAATATTTCATGTGCTCCCATAGATTAATCAAAACTAACTAAATTTTAAACACAAACATTAGTCAATTTTTTGGAAAGAAATCAAAAAGATCTTAAACATTCGTCTCTTGGCTCAGTTTGACCGCATGCAATCCCTCCCAGCCACACAGGAGTGCAGCTCGTACCACCGGGATCTCCGTACAGCTCTTCTAACTCTCGGGCTAATCCGAGCCGGTCTTTAATAGCTCGATTTTATCCCGTTTCATTTCCGAATCAACCTGAAATCAAAACACACAAAATAATTAAGCAATGACAGCAAAAATGTAGGGACAAGGACAAAGTGAAATGCTGAAATTGTAACTATAAAGAAAAGGAACAAATCCCCCTGATGGTTTGCCGGAACCTGGTCGGACGACGTAGACACTGAGTCTCCTGGCTCAGATTGTCCTTCTTTCCGGCACCCTCTGTTCGGTCGTTGCTCGGTGGTGGTCAACGGACGGCGATCTTGGTTCCTCAGCCCTTTCCCCGAGCTGCTCCTCCCACACTAGCCACACACCCGGCCACTCCGTCGCAAAGCCCCTCCTCTCACAAACAGATTCGCCAGATGCCCCACGCAAGGGCTTTAGCCGGCGGGTTGAGCGGGGCGACGGCGCGGCGGTACAACGGCGGCACTCCGACGGCACTCACAGCGACAATCAGTCCTCACACACAAAGGTCACGAAGAACGGAAAGAGAGAGAGAGTGAGATCGTCGGTTTTTCGTCTCACAGAGAGAGAGATTTCAGGCGCAGCAGGAGGTAAGAGAGAGGAGTGTGTGTAATTTTTTAGGGTTAGTGGTGTGTGAGGATATTTAAGGCAAGAGATGGATGGCTGGGATTAATCCCCTTAATCCAACGGTCAAGGAACATCCTGCCACTTAAGGGTGTGCAAGGGCCAGGCCCAGACAGAAATTTGGGCCAAGACGACCACGGGCTTGAGATAGGGATTTGGGTTTGGGCCAAATTTTCCAACAATGGCTAAAGGACATATAGATGTCTATAAGTAACAGCACTGCAGAATTGTGCTCCTCATAAAAATTCTTCATAAATATACGATATCAATTTAAAAAATGAAAACAAAAATTTAATTTCCCTTGATCAACGCGCAATCCTAATTTTCCCCTCAATCGACTCCTGGTCTTCTTATTCTTCTGCCGTCACACGAGTTTTTTGTTTTCAATCTACCGTCAGTTTTTATTCATTTAAATAAAAGATAACAAATTTTATTTAGTTTTGCTTGAATAATTTTTTTTAGTTTGTTTATAGTTTATCTTGGGTTTATATTTCTAGTTTATTTTTAGTTTATCTTGGGTATATAAACGAGTTTTTCTAATGTAAATTTATATCTAATTTATTTTTAATTTATTACAGGTTTATAAGCTAAGTTATTTTTAGTTTATCAATAAATTTTTCTAACAAAAATTTATATCTAGTTTATTTTTAGTTTATTACAAGTTTATAAGCTAAATTTATTTTTAGTTTATCACTCAATTTTTCTAACAAGAATATAGTAAATTTAAATTTATATATAGTTTATTTTCAATTTATTATACAAGAAAAAACTAATTTATTATATAAAAAAATATATAAGGTTTATTTTCAGTTTATTATACAAGAAAAAATCCGAGAATATTTTCAGTTTATTTATAGTTTATTTTCAGTTTATTATACAAGAATGTTTTCAGTTTATTTTTAGTTTATTTTCAGTTTGTTTTCAATTTATTTTCAGCTTTGCCACAAATCAAGGCGAATTCTTCATGATGTGCTTAGTGTCCAAGAAGCTCTTGTTTTGAGCCGCTGAAATTATGTCACCAATTTTCCACAATGAACTCATTGGCACTGAATTTTACGAGAATTATCATTCGTATGCGAAAAATTCAAAGACGTTTAAGAAAATACAGGAAAATTAAGCAAAAATCTAAAAAAAAAATCCAACAACTCAAAGATTTGAAATTCAAATGCTAATCAATTAGATCCCCACCCAAAAAAGTAAATCAAAATTAATGAAACCCTAAATCAGTAATTGGAGAATTTACTACACCTTTCCGACTACACGCCTTGTCCCTCGACGAGTTATATTCCAAGCGTCAAGGCGGTGGGTGGGTGTTTGTTATGTTTTTGTGCTTATTTTGATGTGTTTATTTGTGTTTTTAAGTTGGTTCTAGTTTCGTTTTTTTGTCGACCGGTCCATTTTGTCGCATTTCGTGTGTTTTTATATTTTTTTTTTTATTTTGTATTTTGGCGTACTTGTCCGTGCTTTGTGATGAAATTTCAGGTTATTCGAAAGATGGATGAAGAGTCAAGCAAACTTCCAAAAATTCCGAGAGATTTCGAGTCATTTGCACGAACCATTTTCAACCAAGTATTTCGAGCCTTAGTCAAGTCGGATGCACGCTGACCGCACGTACTAGTCCAACTCGCACCCATCGCCCGAGCTCGCGACCGCGCGGCATGCCCCACGACCACGCGAGTTCCACCGCAACCTGCGCACGCCCGCGCCCGCCGGGCACACTCGCGAGCCAGCGGAAATGGCCGCGACCTCGAGAACATCCATCCTGCCGACGTCCGCGCAGCGGAACTGCCCACGACCACGAGAGTGCTGCATCTCCCTCACCCGCACCCGCGCCGCGACCTCGCGGAGAACCCCGCGCCATCGAGAGTCCTGTGCGCCTGTGCGCCCATGCAAGCCATCACTCGTGTACTCGCGAATTTCATAGCTAGGTCGAGAGTGCCCCTTTTTAATGTGCGTGTTCTAGTGGGTGTTGGGGCTAGACTATAAATATTTTTGTTCCTTTGCATTTTGGGGATCCATCTCTCATTTTTCACTTTTCTCACTTTGGGAAATTAGCTTATTTTTTTTTTGTTTTTGCTCTCTAGATTAGAAGCTTATGTCTTTTTCCGGGAGATTTTCTGACGACTTCGGTTTCTTTCAAGTTTCGAGCTTTTGACTCCGTTTTTCATCGTCTACGCAATGGAAGAATGAATATTTAGTTTTAAAGCTCTTTACTTCGGTTTTTGCTCCATTTTTACTTATTATGCTTATTAGGGTAAATTTGGATTTGATTGATGATGGAGGAAATGCTTATGCTTGATTGTTTGCTTGAGTAGATAGAGTCGTTAATTGCTTGTTGATCTCGGTTAAGGATTAAGACCCGATTAGGGCTTAATCACTTAGGATTAGACGACTAGGGTTAACAATTTAATGCTCATGG